TAGCGTTGGAAACTACGACAGACACCCGATCCGAAGAGATGGAGGTCAAGATCCCGCTGGAGCCCGTGGTGGAGCGGCTCGAGTATGAAACTCCGCGCGCAATACTCCAAAGACCGAAGGCAACGTTGATCCAGTGTCAGAAGGTCGAAGCGAGTCAGGATCAAGACTTTCCTGACTGCCCACCCTCGGACAAGTCGCCGTCGGACAGATCGCCGTCGGAGATACGACCGTTGGATCTAGCGTCTGTCGCGAGTGAGGAGTCAGATCTGTCGTCTATCGCAGACGAAGACTCTATATCGCATGCCGTAACGGTCAAGGAGGTGCTAGAAGATGTCGATTAAGGGACGCCGGACATATGGGCGACTAATCCACTGGTGGGGAAAACTACAGACATGGGAGGAATGCGACAAGAAGATGACCGATATGAAGTCGAGGATGTCAGTCTGGATCAACTACAATTGAGAGGCCAAGATCAAGGAACATCGCCGTCGAAATGTGGCGGATCGGACCTGCCATCAATGATGAGTGTACAGCCTGGGACAGGACACGTGACCGATGATCCGTTGAACGACAAGTGCGCCGCATGTATGTCGCAAAAAAACAGACAGGGATCCATCACCTGTTGTTGAAGATCAACCAGGCACATCGGATCTGGACCTTACCTGGGACTCAGATCAAGATTATGATGAATGTGTGTATTACCATGAAGGAAGTGATCTATACGCCGAAGACGTCGATGGTCAGATGGCGGTACTGCCGGAAGTACCTGTGACGACGGAGGATGTGAGGATCGAAGATATTCAACTATGCGGATCTAATAATCAGACTCCAGAGGAAATTGAGCGACTTCGCCAAAAGATCTGGAAGTTCCGACATCTCTTGATCGGTAAGGGAAATGCCCTTCCGCCGGCAGCTAGAGGCGTGGTGTGCGATATCGATGTCGGGGGAGCGAGACCCATCGCCCTCAAGTGCCGTAAGTTGCGGATCCAGTTCAGGGAGAAGCTGGCAGACCTGATCAAGGGTCTATTGTCCGCCAAGATGATCAACTATTCTAGATCACCATGGGCTTCCCCATTGTGGTGATCATTAAGAAGAATGGGGTGGACATCAGGCTATGTATCGATTATCGGTTCTTGGACATGGCAAGTAGATTTTGGGTAGTGAAAATGATGGATCGTGCTCGTTTGATCTCGGCTTTTATCACTCCTATTGGGTTATTTGAGTGGAATCGAATGCCTTTTGGCCTGAAGAATGCGCCGCAGATCTATCAACGTATGATCGATAACGCGCTATATGGGTTCACCCGGATCCTGAAGTCTGAAGATCACGGAAGTACTTCGGATGTGTTTGAAGACGGGGAACCGGTGAATCCAGGTAAGCCTTCGGTGCTTGGTCGCTGATCATATATCGATGACATCCTGATCCCCGCCGATAACTGGGATCAACTATGTGACCGAGTCGAGGGGTTGCTCGAAGCATGTGATAAGTGATAAGTGGAATCTGTCGATCAGTGTGACTAAAAGTTTCTAGGGGATGCCTAAGGTGGAATATCAGGGTCAAAAGGTCTCCCACAATGGACTGGAGGCGAACCCGAAAGATCTGTCGGTGCTGACGGATCTAGCATTTCCTGGATCCCTTCGATCCATGCAGTCATTCTTAGGAAGTCTGAATTACTATAGTCGATTTTTTGAAGACTACGCGATCTATGCGTCAGTTCTGTATGAATTGCGAGAACTTGGCTTTGTGGCGATGACAAAGGAGGCTACCCAAGTGCGGATCCAACAAGTACTGGAAGTCGAGGACGCAGATCAAGGATCGCAGGGAGACCGGGGTGGCGACCACCGAAAGGCCTTGGATCTGGAGGCGTCAGACCCTATTGAGGTGGATCCGTGTTGGATCCATGCCCATCGGTCCTTTAACGTGCTTAAAACCAGGATTGCTACCACTCCGATCTTACGACACTTTGACCCAGATCGGAAGGCCACAGTGGTGGTGTACGCAAGTGATTGGACCATCTCGGGTGCATTGATGCAAGAATACGACCAGATCTACTACCCCGTGACGTTTGCGAGCCGTACTCTGAAGTCGAACGAGCTAAACTACGGGATCGCGGAGAAGGAGGTATTAGCCCTTCTGAGGATCCTGGATCTTAACTATAATGCGCTGGTCGGGCGTCCGATCCGTGTGTTGACCCGACACTCTACTTTGGCGTGGCTCTTCAGATCCAAAGCCTTGCAGGGACGTTTAGGTCAGTGGGCTGCTCTACTGTCGCCATGGACTCTCGAGATCACAAAGTGCGTCAAAGGGGAAGATGAGATCCTGGGAGCATTGGCGGCGAGCATTACGCCTAGATCACAGGTGGATAAGGCGCTGATCTCGATTGCCCCTAAGAAGGAGCCACGGCGCAAGATCCAGGCTCCGATCCCCACTATTAGACAAGGACCTATATGTTGTGAGTTTCGATGGATCGGCCCGTGTCGAGAGAGGTGGAGTCGCCTACAGCGCTATCTTGTGGAAGCTGCCCGAATGGAGAGTGTTGAAAGCTAGATCGGG